GTGCCCGACAATTTGATGAAACAGCGGCGCTGCACCAACAGTATAACAAAAACAACAAAGAGTAAGGCATAATGCTGTTGAAAGAAATTGGAAAAAAGGAATTACCAGGAACTGTTTGACAACAAACAGGAAAAGGAGCAGAAGCAGCAGCAGCAACGCAGAACAAAGTGAAGTTGAAGTTGAAGGAAGGATGTAGCAGGCAAACAAAGTAGCTAAAACAAGGACAAGGATATAAAGGGGGCCGTAAGGGAAGGGATGGTAAGAGGTGGACTGGAAGCAGGCTGACATTAAACATCCCTCCTTCGTAGTGGCAAATGGGTGCGTGCGCGCGTATTTTGTGTACAAACAGCGGATCATAGTAGAGCCTCAGTCGACGCAGACTCTACCAACAAATCTGCGACAATCAATGTCACCCCTCGCATTCTGGCAATGTAAACATACTAAATGATATGTTTGTAAGTGATTATGCCGCTGAGTGCTCAGCAGTCGGTGTGTGTGCTACCAGAACCAGTTCGTTGGCACGTTGAGTATGTATGTAGCTGTGAACAGCGGGTGTAAGGGCGCAGTGCTGCAAATGGGAGTGTAATTGCTATGTGGCAATGGTTAAATTAGCAATTGATTATGATGAAGGATGTGACTAGTCGCTCAAATGTAAAAAAAAAAAAAAAAACAAACAAAAACAAAAACAAACATGCTGGAGTGCCACTCGAAACGTAAACAAAGTTGATGAAGAAAACAAAGGTAAGCGGAAAGCTGAACTAAAATGGTGCAATTAAGGCGAATTTAATTTCGCTAGGAGAAAAGTGTAAATATTGCAAAAAAAGAGGTAATGAATCTCGGAATAAACCCCCACCAGTAAGGGTACACACGTTTTCTTCAATAAATGTTGAGGATTGATGCTTTCCACGCAAAAACTTTGCTACGCGCCCAAACGTATGCTTCGAAAATATCACTTTCAGAAACAACTCTCATACAATTTTATTCACCAGTGTTGCCAGTAATTTTTTCGTGAAAAATTTGCCAAGTGAAGATTAATAGCCGATTTCACTAGCAATTTAAATGGAAAATGATTTTTTATTTTCTGTAAATTTCCATAAAAAAGTCGAAAAATTAAAATCATTTTTCACTTGCTTTTCTTCAATTGGCTGTAAATCTTCAAAAATCGGAAAATATTAAAAAAAATTCCAACAAAAACTTTGCGAAAGAAATACTTTTTTAGAAATGTTAAGCTAAAATCAAATTAAATTTAGTTTATATCTCAGAAACATAAAGTTTAACACCGTGGGACAAAAAAAAATCAATACACACGAAACAGTCAACTACGAAATATGGTAAAACTGCGCTTTTAAAACTTCTCTCTGATGAGGGAATTTTTTAGAAGGACTTTTAAATATCAAAAATATGATTTAAAAAATTCTGTGCAGTATAGAATAACAATATGCCTATCAAATCCTGAAGAATTAAAAAAAAAATTTGTTTTGGTTCACAAGGACGAATAGCTACTAAAAATGCTCTTTTAATTAATTTTCTTAGTCCTTAATTTATAATTTTTTCAAAAACTATTATTGCAAAATTTCAAGGATATTTAATGACAACATTTTAAAGGAACCAAAAAACTTAATTTGCTTTAGTTCTAGAGATTTTTGTTTTTTTTTTTAATTTGATACCCCTTTTTTTATTGCACTACATTTTTATATTCTTTTTTTATATTTTTCAAACTTCAAAGTCCTTTTAAAGAAAATTTTGACTTCGGAGAGAAAAACTAAAAACGCAATTTTACCATTTTGTACCTGTAGTTTCGCGAACATATTGATTTGTGTATGTGTGAAATTGACTGTCGCACACCGTTATAAACAAACAAAATCTAAGTAAATTTTAATCCCGCCAAACAGGTACAATTTACCTGCAATTTTTACGAATGTCATGCTAACATAAAAATTGCAAAAAGTTGCAAGTTGTAGATATTGAAAATGATCAATGTAAAAATTATGATGCATAATTTTTGGACGGCAGACTTTATAATAATACCCAAAATTTATTTGGAATTGAAAGCTTATTGCATCTAATTTTGAATGCCGTATGGCAATTTCATGAAATCTAACTGGCGAACCAGAAATATGAAATTTCAAAATTACAAAAAAAAAATAAAAATGTCATCATATTCTATGAATAATTTTGCTTTAAAAGTGTATTTAGTACTTTTCTGATGAGACGCATAGCTTCTGAGAAAATAGTTCGTAAATATTCGGCATTTGTGTATTTCCTTGGTACTGTACAAACCACGAAACCTCCAAAAATACAAAATTTCGAAAAATAAAAAATTTTGATATATACTGGATACGATTTCGAGGAAAAGGCCTACTTAGCGATTTTTTGACTAGACGCATCGTTTACGAAAAAAAAATTTCCCACAAGAATGCTCTTTATATATTTACAAATTATTTACGACTTGTAAATTATAGCTTTAAAATGTCTAAATATTTCTCAATTTACATTTGAAAAAATTTTTGTGGTACTCGTATTTCATTATTTTTGAGTCAATTTTTGTGAAAAGCATGCCATTTTAATTTTTTGGTGTCCATCTTGTTACCAATTTTTCTTTTCTTAAAACTAATCTGCTTTCCAATTTTGCTGTAAGAATCACATAGAAAATCTTCAAGTACTGTCAGAACTCTCCATACTGAAGCTTTGTTTATCTGGAATTTTGGTTTCATTTTAATAACTTCATTGAATTTTTTTTTAGTAATATTTTTTTAGATAAGTCTTCATTTTGAAGATAAATCTACACTTCTGGCAACACTGTCCTTTACTCCAATCGCGGAAACGTGTTTCGGTACGTTTACCACCGTTACTAAAGAATTTTGGTCATTTACCAAAACATGATTTCCGGTGTTGCCTTTATGCTGACTCGTCTGTGCCTATCAGTGCGCGCGCCCCAGCGTCTTTGTGGACACCCTGCAGCCTCTTATTTATACATATTCATACATACATATGTATGCTAGGGTCGTGCTTAAAATATAAACATAATGTGCTACGTACAAAATAACCCATCCCCGAAAATTTCAAAGCAAAAAAAAAATTTTGTAAAAATTGTTTTTTCTTATCGCAAAAATTCGATAAAATTTTGGTTTTGACCAGCTATAACTCAGCGAGTTTATGAATTTATTTCATATAAGTTTCAATAATATACCAAATTCATCAAATATTGAGTAGCTTTTTTTGGAGTTTTTGCGATTTAAAAAAAAATTATTATTTTTTTTTTGTAACTTTCAGGGAAGGGTGCGCCATACAAATTTGAGAAGTTGATGTTTATAAGGCCCAACCTTATGTGTACCCTTAAAGTCTTTCACGTCTCGCTGTGTTGTTGTGCCCGGAAACTGCATGCACTG